AGTTATGAAAATAGCTTCTGGAAGGTATAACATGCATTTTATATCTTAAACTGTCAAAAAATATAAAACACCGAACTATTTTGCCACCAAATTTTGGAAATATGAAATGGGAGCCTCCAGAGGTCACAAAAATGGGGCTGCATTTAACCCAGAGTTCCCCATGCTGGGGGTGGTGGTGGAGAAAATACATAGTATCTATGATATTCAGGGGACCAAAAATGGGTCAGAGCCATATGAGAAGACAGGCAAACTCCTCTCAAAAATATGTTATTTTTACCTTCATGGCAGATAGAAAAATCATCACAACTTGGTATATGCCAAAATCTAGCTTTTTGTCAACATTTTACAGCAGCATTATAGCAAGGCTGTAAAATACATGTATCCTGGAAAGTACTCACAAATGTACATGTACAATCCTGTCAAATTATGATAACCGCCAAGTCTCAAATGTAGGCCTCCTTGCAAACCAGATATACATTATAGTAGACACTCCTAAATCATATAAAACATGGCTATGGATCAAAAGTTAGACTCACTGCTATCATGAATGGGGTCAGAAATAACTGGCTTTAATGCTAAAGTGAAGTTTCCACTACTATCGCGAAGATAGGCACTGAAGCGCAAACGAACGATGCTGAGATCCATTGTCTTCTTCAACTCCTTTGCCTCTTGTTCAATCAACTCTTGTTCAGATTCTGCTAAAACAGATGCTAAGTTATAAATCTGACAAACAGTCCAGCATCCCGTATCAAGCAAAACTTCCTCTGGATACCAAACTCACACATAAATGTTCATTTTAATATTTTGAAAATTAATCTAAAGGAAATATTTACATTCTCCCAACTCTCTCAATCTCTGATGAGCATTTTTCAACAATTTGCAAACTCTAATATTCATACTTCTTCCACATATAATATAGAGCTGATAGTGAACTACTTCAGTCTGAATTAAAGACAGACAGACAGAATGTATTTTTATTGGTCAATGACTGAAATAAAGTTCTGTCTGTCTGAATTAATATAACCTACAATTTTAAGTACAGTAGATTCCAGTTCCTGATAAAAACTCAAAATCAGTTTTTTGAGTGTTCACAGAGCTTACCAGAACATTTTCAACCCTCCTGCAAAATAAGGTTGCTGTAAGATCCCCAACTGAAGAGGAGCTAAGGCCAAGGAGAAATGTTTTGCTCTGAAATACAGTTTTATTTGCTATTCCTGTTTACGGGACAAACTCATGAAAGAAAAGAAAAATGCACTTTACAAAAGCTCAATAGTACCACTCTTTAATATTAGCTTGAGCACTAGAAATTGTCGCTGGGGCTGAGCTCTAATACGCCGTTTTCTTTTTACCTCCAGTCCTGTGCTTTCCTTCATTCCATTCCATTCCATTCCATTCCATTCCATTCCATTCCATTCCATTCCATTCCATTCATTCCTTAGCTAATTTCAATCTTCCATTTTTCCTTTCCTGTACTGGGTCCATCAGGTATCCCAGGCTTCAAACCCACATGGAAGTAGAACTTCCTAAGTTAGATAACCTTCTCTCAAATGTATATACTACTCATATCGGTAAAGCAATCAATATCGCACATTTCTACCCAAGGAACACTCAGTTTCACTTTGAACAAGTATAGACAATTTCTTCAGATCACACTATAGAACCCCTTGTGCGTATGAGAACTTGTGAAGAACACCTGACAGGTAAATGTTTTATGATCAGTGTTTCTATTCCATGCAAGATCCAAAAGGGGACTGGTAACTAGTGAAGAATATGTAAGTAATAAATGCACAGATAGTCTCAGTTTACTCATTTCTGCCTACAGTACAAGCACCCATTCTATCTAGGGTCTTAGGATAAAAGTGAAAGAAGACCAAGACCGTATCTAGAATCTGTTTTATAAATTCCTAGAATTATCCCCGTGCTTTTCTTTTCTGTTCAAAGTCACCTGCTAGAGGCTGCACTCTGTTTCGCATCTTCTGCTTCTGCAGTTTGTCCTTGATGACCTCCATCATGTTTTTCTTAGTCACATGGAGCACACCTAGGTTATTAAATCTGATAAAAGACAAATTACCCTCTACTACAATAACAATCATAATGTCTGCATAGGCAGCAACCTGCTCAAATTCCAGACGCTATTGTAGTACTGAGATGAGCATATTAAAAAACAAGGTAAATCACTGAAGATGAAAGACCAAGATAGACAAATAAGGCATATAAATTAAATAAATAAATAAATAAATGTAAAAACTAGGCTATCATTATTGATGGAAACATGTATGTCATACAGTAGCCAACCAAAGTTACTGGGGAGCTAAAAAGCATCGACAGGAGAGCTTTACTGCCCCATCTCTTTAAAACCATGTGGGTGATTCCGTAATTTAACTGTGGACTGTGCAAATGATGGGCTTACTTTTATTGATCCTATATCTCCCCTTATTTAATTTCAGTGAATGATCAGGGGTTCAAAAATTGGGACAGGGATAATGTTCCACACTAGGAAGGATTTTATATATCTTTGTCATGTTTCTAGTCTAAGTTAAAAGGTTCAAAGCACAGTAGTCTTTGTTCAAAGGGGAGCTACTCAAGCCTCCTAATCTTTTTGATTGCCATTTTCTGCATCTTTTTCCACTCTATTTTTTTTTTAGTTATAGTGACCAAACTATACTAGTAGCTTTATTTGCTTCTTAATAATATTTTAATAGCAGCTGCAAACCAGCTGACATCTTCATTTACCATGATCCAGAGTCTTTGTGCTAATTAGTCACTGCCAGTTCAGACAGGTTAATGTATATGTTAAATTTTAATGTCAGGCACCTACATTTCTCTTGCCCCCCTCAAACAAGTAAACATGCCAAAGATTTCCAATTTGCATAATATCCATTACAAAATGTGGATTTTCTGATGTTTGCTTAAACTATTTGAATTTTGACAGAGTATGTCAAGATTTGCAAGAACCAATAGGTTGCTAAAAGCCACCTGCAGATGGCCCAAAGGACCAGAAACTATAGCAAAATTCTCCATTAGACCATCAAAACTGGAACACTGAACATAAATGTTCCTTTTCTTCAGATATAGAGAAACCATGCATGAAGAGTCTTTCTAAAGATGGAATATGTATTGATCACCTGATTTATACTGTTTAAAGGAGAAACACCTTCCCTTTTAGTTTTAATCACCATACAAAACTCACTGAGAATATATACTATGCAAAAGACCCAAGAGAGTATATCAAGGCCATTAAGAAATGACTATATAGAACCCAACATGTTTGGGGCAATTCCTTTTCAGTAAGCTACTAAAACAAAACCATATAAACAGCCTACGCAGCTTTATCTCTGGACCATGATACTGATCCAAGTGACTTGCCTAACAGAATCTCCTGTTTACTGAACAAATAAAGTATTAGAAAAAAGAAAAGAGTTATTAAATCCAGTGAGGAAAAAAAAGTTTAATTCTTACTTTTTGTAAAAAAATCAGCATTATATGTATTGTAAGCATCAAAAACATTAGAAATAGAAACATATCAATCATTATTTATAGATTAAAAGAAATATAATTACACTTGCTCATTTTAACTTAAAGCCCTGTACTGTAATGCCAGTAACCCACTTATAGATATTTTAAAGGGGTTTCAAAGTTGTCTAATTTAAGTTTTTTATGTTTATTGTGTTAATTTGTAATACCTGCGAAAACAGAGGCAGTCTTCCTTTATTTTATTTTTCATAGGTGTAGATTAATAGAATACTTTCAATCAAAAGGAAGTCATGCCCCACAACACAAAATCAGTTGTGCTCCATATATGTCCTTGTGTTTCATATCTGCATATTTGATTTGTGCTAATGAGAATACAAGTTTTTTTTCCTTGTTTGGTAATGAAAAATAAAGAATATTTTGAGCTTATTTTCCAACTTGCCAAGAAAAGAATACACACACATATATATTAGAAGTCTCTCAGAAAAAAAAAATTACTGCTACATGTTTCTGAAAAAAAAATCTCAAATACAGGTAGTCCTCAGGTTATGATGGTAATTGGGATCATGATTGCCGTTGCTAAGCAATGCGATTGTAAAGCGCAATGTCATGTGACTACATCATTTAGAGACAACAATCCCAGCAGTCCTGGTTGCCATCATAACCCCAAGACGTATGGGTCATTAAGCTGGAAGCAGTGGGAGTCCCAGGTAAGGAGTACAGGGGTGCCGTGGGGGGGTGAAGGAGGCCAAGGAGGCCCTGGGAGGGCTGGAGCAGGCTGCATGTGAATTGGGGGAGGCCTTGAGAGGGAGTGGATGGCACAAGTGCAGGAAGGCCGGGGGTGGACAGTGCGGCACAAGTGCAGGAAGGACAGGGGATAGATGGTGCAGCGCAACTGCAGGAAGGCCAGAAGGTGGACAGCACAGAGGGACATGAGCACAGGAAGGCTGAGGGGACTTACCAGAGCGACTTGCAACCTTCCCTGCTGACTTCCCTATTGACTTTGCTTGTGGGAAGCCAGCAGGGAAGATCACAAAGGACAATTACACAAGGGCGGGACACTGCAACCACAAGCGCAAGCCGGTTGTCAAGCACCCGAATCGCGATCACGTGACTAAGGGGTGCTGAGACAGCTGCAACTTCAAGGACCAGTCATAAGTACCACTCATACTGCACCGTTGCAACTCTGAACAGTCGCTGAACAAGTGGTCAGTAAGCGAGGACTACCTGTACTGAGATACATCTTTAGTAAGCCAATTTGAAAACTAATCTACTTCCTAACCAAAAAAAAAATAAATGAATCAGTATGTCTTAGCGTGCAATATCTACAGTATGAAGAAAAGGAGCATGCAATAAAGTTTACTTTGCTTCTTCTCCTTCCTTTAATATTTGGGAGCATAATCCTTTAATTAGGATTTTAAAACCTATGTTCCTAGCATTTCATACCCGACCAAGATCAATCTTGTACTTCTAATTTCTGCCAACTCCCTTCTGAGTTCACTCAGAAGTCCTCACTCATACAGATTAGGCCATGAATTTAAGAAAGCAGAAATGTACAAGTCAAAGACTGCATGATTAAATGGAAGCAAAATGTGAATACAGGTAGTCCTTGTTTAGGAACTGCAATTGGTTCCGGCAACATGGTTGCTAAGCAACATTGTCACTAAGTGAACCACATAACTGAGAGAAAGCGAGAGAAAGAAGCTGTGAAGATTGCTGGTTGCTGCCATCTCATTTAAGATAAAGTTCTCTTGTGCAGCAATGCCATTGTTACTATCACTCCGGCTTGCATTGTTGTCAGGAGCAGAAATTTAAAGTGCACGCATGGGGAAGAAACTGATTTTTTTACTACTGTGTAGTGTAGTAGTACTGTTTACTACCACTGTATTTGCAAACCATCACTATTTGAGAGAGTTGCTAAATGAGGATTACCTGTAGGTCAACTGATATGTAACAATGGGAACATCAATGGAAGATAAATATTCAATTTACCATGAACATTATACTCAGAGAAAACTGGTACAAGATTATTTTTTGATAGAATATTACTTTATTGCCAAACATTTTCATTCAAAAAATTTCTGGAAATGAAGTAATCAGATTGAAACATATCTAGCAGAAATGTCACAAAGCCCAGCAATTCTGGAAGATGATTCACCTTACAATGAAAGAGATTTTAAATAATGACTTTCCTTTCCTGCCATCTGCTTTTCTATGAAATATCACTAAGCCTTTTAAGTTAGCTTTGTATATGTTAGCAGCCGCTAAGATACTTTATGCTTCCCAGTGGAAATTACACTTAATTTTTTCATTAAAGGATGGCAGACTAAGCTCAATATCAAAAATAACTTCATATTTAAAAAATAAATCTGATACTAACTTTACCTTGGAAACTATTTACAGATTATAATTCTGGACATAAAACTCTGTGATATCCAAAATTCAGGTTTCTCTTAAAATAAGATTTTAAAAAACCAAGTTCTGTCTGACTGGTCATAAAATTAATGGCAGTTTCAGATTAGCTAGAAATTCTTGTTAATTCTTATTATTTGATTGATGATTGTTATTACTGTGGTTGCTTTTGTTAACAATAATAATTTGAGGTTTATTTTATTATTTATATAATACAATTATTATTTTTATTATTAATCTTTGATTCAAACTGCCAAATTGATATATGGTTGTTTAATAAATTGTATTAATGTTACTAATAGAATAAATATGTTTTTCTTTTTTCTTAACATTCTGTAAATTCCTAACTAATTTTTAGTTTGTAAATCCCTCTCTTTTTGTTCTGCTTTTTTTTCTTGGTGCTGTTCTTAAGTATCTAAAAATAAATAAAATATTAAAAAATGTGTAATTTTCTGTTCAGTAAGTATCACTTTTACATTCCATAATACTACAGGTAGTCTTCATTTAGCAACCACAATTGGGAGTGGCAACTCAGTCATTAAGCGAAGTGATCACTAAATGAAACTGTGACTATGCTTATGATCTTACTTCAGTTTTCCTTTGCTTTACAGACCTGCAGAGGTCATAAATGCAAGGACTGGTCGTAAAGTTATTTTTTCACCACCTTTGTAACTATGAATAGTCGCTACACAAGGTAGTCGCTAAACGAGGACTATCTGTAAACTGTGGTATCTAGCCCACTACCTACTCAACCTGGAGGCTACGAGTGAGGCTTAAAAGAGAGAACACCTAATTATTAAAGCTTGCCCCCAAAAACATGTGTTTCAATATATAGAACAAACTTGCACACTGTTTGTGCACACCTTCTCAAACAAGGAAAACACCAGGTAGCACCTGGAATTATTCATTTGTGCTGAATTTTCCCTGCCAGGACAAATGGCAGGAAGCTTGAGGTTTCATTAGATAAGAAGGTACTGCAATCCATTTGCTCAATTTAACTAAGAGAAAGAAACATACTATAATGAAACAGGTCTTGCCTTCTGAACCCCACGTTCATTCCTCCATCACATAAATCATACATACTGTGCAGTCATGTCCTTTGGGCCCACCATCACAATGCAGTTGCCAGCTTCGTTACACTGCTTTCCGACAAGACTGTGTGCATGCACTTGTGGAGGATCGGTGTGAGTCACCAAATCTACTTCTATCCTAGCCAGTCCAATGTAATTAGAGATCTGCCAATAAAAGTATACAAAATGACATCAAGGGGTCCTTCCATAAAGACCATCTTTCTATGAAACATCCATTCTTCAAATGGTCATGGAGTTTTAAAAAGAAATATTCCCCTATGTAAGCTTTACTGGGTTAATTTGTACTCATTATATATGCTTTCTTCTGGCACTGCTTAAGGAGCCTGGAAGCCTTCTCTTCTGTTTCTGATTAAATGTAACTTGCTAAGTTTCATTAACAGAAATAGACTACAATAGTCTTAAAAATGGTTGGAAACAAAAGCCAGTTTTGGAACATGGTTTATAAAGCTTATCTATAGCCACTAATAACAATTAAGACCATATGATACCACTGATCATCTTTGCATACTGTATAGCAAACAGCCATGAATCTTGGCTTATTAAGCCATAATATGAACAAGCAGCATACTCATGATTCTGCCTTTGTGCAAAGAGGTAAACAACAAGATAAAAACAGCACAACATCAATTCCCAAAGTCGGATTTAGTGTGCCTCAAAACATCAAAGCTAGTTTTAAACACAGCTATTTTGACTGATAAATATTGGCTTGTTTGGGTGCAATAAACATCCTGGTTTATTTGGCTTGTTTATCTGCTTGCATTAAGTGAAAATAAAATGGGTTATATACAGAATCATGTGACTTGTTCACTCTGTTTAAATCCATACATTGCACTAAACCAAAATGCACGTTTCTTGCTTTTAGCTTAACCTAACATACAATTATGTTTTAACCAGAATTTTTAAGCTTCTTTTAAACACAGTTCCTGTTTCACTCTACACAGATAGTTTTGAGGCATTTTCTGACCCAAATAACCCAGACCGGAATACAATTTTTTTAAAAAAATGTATTATAATTTGAATTTAAAAATTATTCTAACTTAAAATTATTATTTAGATCCCACACCAAAAGGTCCAAGATTAATTGATTCAACATTTTTAAATTCACTTAGAATTCTGAATGCAAGGTACAGGTTCCAAAGGGGATTTCTAAATGCCTTCTATAAGTAAGCATAAAATATACCATGATATAAGGGTTTCAAGTCACACCAAGATGTGAAAGTATGCACTCAAGATGCATATTAGAGTTGTTCAGTTAGCCTCTTTTGCTCAAGTTCCTACTATTTTCCACTCTCTTCCACAAATATTATTCTCTAATTAACCTTTCACCAACTTCCACTCTTCCTTTTTATTCCTGGGCTCCCTCTGTCCATAGTATTATGCCCAGCCTAGCCCAGAATTAATTGTAGCCAAATCAAAATTTTCTATTCCTCCAAACAAATGTTCAGTTGCTCTGGAATCAAAAGTCTGGGGGAATAGAAAGATTTAAGCCCCTTCACTCATTCTACCAAAGAGAAGGCAGTAACATTGCAAGAACAGAAACATTTACTTCAGGCAGCTATCTATAACAACCAGGCATTACATTATGAAAACTTAAGGTGTTGGAAACAGGCAACAAAAATTAATCAGAAAGACCAAACAATATTTGTACCAAATAATATGACTAATAACAAAATTATATTTTTTGTTTTTTTTTATCCCGCCTTTATTATTTTTATAAATAACTCAAGGCAGCACACGAACATACCTAATACTCCTTCTTCCTCCTATTTTCCTCACAACAACAACCCTGTGAGGTGAGTTGGGCTGAGAGAGAGAGACTGGCCCAAAGTCACCC